AGAAATAATATTTACTTGCGAAAAACCGGCCAGATTTTTTAGTCGTTTTGAAAACATTTAAGTTTATGTATGTTTCCTTGTTTGTCCGCAAAATAATAAGTTCATTTTATCGTAAATTTTTAAATATTTTGTTTTACCGACTTACATGGAAACATACATAAACTTGAATGTTTTCCAACATCTAAGTGCGGAAAAATAAAAAAAGAATATTCGCAAACACAAAAAACCCACCAAATCTACGAACAACTAATTCTATTGGTTCAAAAAATACCAACCGAAATTTCTAGAGTATTCAAAAAATACTAACCGAATGTCCTGAGTATTCTGTTGAAATATTTTAAAATATTGTATTATTTGAATTTTGTTACGTTTTCGTGAGACCTCTAGCATAAATTATTTTAAGAATATACTATCAAACGAACTATTATTTTTATTCTTAGAGCCACATCTATAAAGCTATAAATGTTTTAAACTAATATTATTTGTTTACAATAATAAATGTTTTAAATTTATATTTTTTAACTTGTCAACGTTTTGTAAATATATTGTAGATTTTATTAGTAAATTCTTATTTTTTATATATAAGGGATGTATTTTTTTTATGTATGTAATTTATTTTTATCTATGCAATTTTATGTGTATTTTATTCAAATGTAATCTTTTAAAACAATTTGTGCGATTGATTTTGAAAAAAAAAAATACTTTCAATAATAACTGTGTTTTGAATGAAATTATTAATAATTGTCAAAGTTAGTAAAAATAATTTTAACCACTAATCCATTTTCCTCAGTGTACTCGATAACTGATTCTTTCCCCCCAAGAAAGAAAGTTTTTAAGTTCTTAGAAATCGGTTTACTAACTTCAATTATTTTTGCTTCAGCCATTCTTACAAACTCGTTGTACTTAAAGTTACTTTTTTCAGTTTTAAATACTAATTAAAATTATAAAGCCCACTCACTAAACATCATCAGCGTTATTGTGAAGCAGTTCCGCTTCCTCCTCACAAAGTAATTTAACGTTTTTAGTTAATTTCTATCTAACTAATTGAATTTCTACAGTAACTCAATGATTTAGTTATTTCATCTCTTCATCTTACTGAGAAGAATTGTTTCAAATGTGTTAAACTTTTCAAACTACGCGAAGCATAAAACAGTTATTGAAAAAACTTTTTTATTTTTAATTAAATCATCTAGCGTTAATTTTATTGGTTGAATCTTTTTGGACTTTTCAGGACCGGGGGCTGCATTATTTTGGCGGTCTTTTTTATGTGCCACAGCGTAAAAATGACTTAAAAAAATACCGAAAAGTCCTCTTGACTATTTCCCCTAACATAGTGAGTCCCGGGGCTATAGCCCTACTACCACCACCCCACCTTCTCAATCTGCAACTGGAAATAAGGCATAAGTATATAAATAAAAATTATATATACTCTTTGATAAATCGAAGAACATTTGTTTCTTTATAGTTGTTACTTTATATAAAAAAATGTCGCTTAATTTTATAAAACAAATTATAAAAGAGCCACGTTTCAAAAATAATTGCTCTAATAAATTTATTTTGCTTAAAGTTTTTTTGCGTTAAAAGCTATTTTTCTTTTTTTAACTGTCTCTCATTGGTCCAGTTAATCTTATTGTGCTTTTTTGTTTGTTTTTGAAATGTTCTCAAAATGACTAAAAAGTCTGGCCGGTTTTTCGCAGCTAAATATTATTTCCGTGGTCAATTATCGAGTGCAATCGCACCCGCTTCCCGACCAAGCCTGATATATGTATATGTATATATATATGTATATATATATGTATATATATATATAAATATATATATATATATATATACACATACATATATATATACATACACATATATATATATATATACATACACGTATATATATATATATATATATATTTTTATATATATATATATATACATACATAAATACATAAATAATAATGTGTACCAGGAATGTGTTGGGTTCTTTCCTTATATTTTTTCTTCTTTTACTCCACTTTAGTGCTGTATACATTGATTGGACAGTACCAAAAATAAACAAAATACCGTCTGTAACATTTATCAAAGATAAATGTTACAGACGGTATTTTGTTTAAGAAGATGAAATCAACACAAAATTAAATGTGGTTTTACAATGACAAGACAAATTAAGCTCCGATTTCCAAAGATATATTCAGAACTATATATTTTTATATTATAAAATAATCAGTGTGTATTGATTAATCATTATTAAGAATAATATATTAGATTTACATTTAATCTTAATATAACGTTGCCGCTTTCATGTCAAGAGTATTCTTTTGAATATACATTTTTATTTTTCACTGGTGGGCATTAAAGGGCAATTTTTAAAGTATTATAGCAATCTTCTACTTCTAATTGTTATTTAAATTCTGTTTGACGTCCTTTATGGACGAACCCTTACACCATCATGTAATAAATTGTGTCATCAAGATAGTAAAAGCTAGTAAATTTCATATTTCACATTTATTGCATGTTCAATTTTAAAATTGATATTAACTTTATTTAGCAAAAACAACAACAAATGTCGTTTAACTACAAAAGAATTACAAAAGATTACAAGCGATTGCAGGCTATCATGGTAACGAAGAATACCAATAATTATAAGATGTTTTTATGACTATGGTTCATTGAAACATTTATATTTGCTTTTATGTTTTAAATTCAAGCAAGCAGTGAATCTAGTTTTCTTGTTTTTTATTTTATTTTTAGTACCAGTTTGTTTTAATAAAAAAAACATTCTTGTTATTAAATGTATTTAATTTACGTTTTATTAGTGATGCACCAATGGCAAAGGCCAATTGTGATAATAATAGGTTTTAATGTATTTATATAAGGGTATTATATTAATATTAAGGATAAAAGGGCGAAACTTTTAAAGAAATAGCCAAACCAAACAAATTTGTAACCAAACAAATTTGTAATTTTTTAAATTGTACTTTATTTTTTATTTTATTTGTTTTATTTATTTTTATTTATTTGAATTTTCATGCTATATTTTTCTATACAGTGTTATGACCGAAGATATTGTTGGCTTAGCATAGGAACAGCCACAAATAGTCATTAAGACTAATCCAAAGTAGCGTCCGTAATTGATCAACATTTTTGCACACAGAAGTACTATTCAAGTGCTGAGTTGGCGATGGCAGAATTGAACCCGTATCATACAACAGTCCGGGTTTTATCATTTGATGCTCTAACCAAATAAGCCATCCAGCCATTACTTCTTACTAAATTTTTTTTTATAATATAAAAAAAAAAGTTCTGTTGTTGGAACGCATTGCAAAAAATTATTTGCAAATTTTGAGAAATTAATTTTTTTTTCTGAGCAATTTTAAGGATTTTGGGAAAATCCTAATTCTTAAAAAGTTTTTTCCAAGAGACATTTTTGCAGTTATAACAATAGCCGCAATTTTATTTCAAGTTTTAAACAATAAACTACAACTTTTTGTTATTTTTCTATTAGTTTTTAATAGTAATTTTCAATAATTTTTATAATTAAACTTTAATTTTTATTTTATGAGCTTTTGAAAATACCGCTTTGTACGGGGCTCCACAGGATTAGTTTACACACTATATATATATATATATATATATATATATATATATATATATATATATATATATATTATATATATATATATATATATATATATATATATATATATATATATATATATATACACATGTATACACACATGGATGGCAAACTTCAAGCTTAAAACTGTTTCTTATTTAAACTTAAAAAGGAAAAAAATTAATTTAACATGTGCTATAAAAAAAATAAACTTGATTATTATGTAATATCATGATAGTAAAAAATAGAAAAACAAAATTAAACAGTACAACTGAATAAATAAAGTTAAATTATAAAAGTCATCTAAAGTTAAATTATAAAAGTCAAACAGTTTGTTGCTATAGAGGAACTTTCGTCAAAATTTTTATCTTCCATGACATTTTTATTCAAAAAGAAAAAGGGAAATAAATAAACTTTTATAGTAATTATATAAAAGTAATTATTTATAAAAGTCAATTATTTTTATAAAACGATGATATATTAAATAACAGTTTTTTATTTTGTTGTTTTATTAAAGCAATTGATTAAATAAAAACATTTTATTATTTAACTAATAACTTAATTATTAAATGAATATAAAAATAATATGAAAATTAATTTGAAAAAAAAATTTAGGATGAAATAAAGAATTTTTTTTTCAACGCCTGTTTTTCTGCTATTTTAAATCTAAAAAAAATATTTTTTCCTGGAATGAAGAAGCAACAAGATAAAAAACAAATATTTCCCCCTGAAATGAAGAAGTAACAAGATAAAAAACAATTATTCCCCCCCCCCCCCCGGGAATGAAGAAGCAACAACATAAAAGTTCAGTGGAAATATCAAAAATTATCATAAAACATAATAATTTTTATTTCTCGAAAAAAATATTTTTATCTTGCATGTACAATACCATTTAGGCAACTACCCGTGTTATAAATAGCCTGTCTAGTCCATTTTAAACATGCTATTCATAGTGCCTGCACTCCTGAAGTAACATATTCAATGCACTCCTAAAGCAATATACATTATTCATGTATTTATATCCATTTACAATTTAAATATATATACATATAATACATATATAGCTATCATTATAATGCAAATTTTATTATCTTTTAGGAAATGATTTTATCCAGTTTGATTAATAATTAAATATTTAAGTTTGATAAAAATTATTTGTCCTCAAAGAACAAAAAAAAAAAAAAAAAAATGATTATCAATTGTTCTACAATTTTTTTTTTTTTGATAGATATGACATATAAACGACGATCAATAAACAACAAAAACAATTGTTAACAACTTTTTAAGTATCCTTTTATAAACTGCAGTTTTTTTTATTATCAATTTGAAATAAAAATGTTAACTGATCCACATGTTTACATACATTTTTTATAAAAGTGAATAAGCTACTCACAGCTAACTTCTTTTCAAAGACGTATTGGACAAACTTGGAGATGACATGTTCTGCATTATGTTCAAAAACTTTAGTAGATATATCTTGAACTTTATTGCAGGCCAGAAGTATATCTTCAAAAATATCTTCGGATGTAAATAATTCCTATTATTAAAAAAATTAATGAGATTTATTATCATTTATAAATACCTCCACAAGCATACCATCTATCTTATTTAAAAATTATTTATTTTTATTATTATTTAACAGCTGTAGTCATAAGGAGGGATTTGAAGTCCCAAACAGGGCACTGGTTTTAAAGGTCACAAAATCACTATTCCTAGTTTTTAATGTCCAGAACTAAAAATGTTATTAAACTCATAGACTGCGTGGGTAAAAAATACAGGAAATTAAAGACTTGAAACCAATTATTTTTCAGTCTAAAGTAATAAAGTACCTAGCTGCTATTTTACATAAGAACTCTTGTTTCAAAGGTTCCTGTACCCAAAATGCTTTGAAAATATCCTTTAAAACGCAATTTTTTTTTTTTTTTTATAACAAAAAAGATCATTTGGAACTTTTAAAAACAGACTTTGGACTTATATTGGTTATAAAGGAATTTAAAAATTTAAATGCAGTTTTGTTGTTGAATGTACCTCAACCTGTTTAATTTACCATGACTGTAATATTTTCTTATATAATAAAATAAAAAATATTTTTGAAAAATTTGTAATGAATTGTTATACTTTATAAATACCTTACAATATAAACTATGCAAAACATAAAATTATGTTTTTTTATTATATAATATTAATACTTTTTATTATTATTTGTTTTATATTTACTAATTTATATTATTATTGTACTTATAGTAGTTTCATAATCATAATCGTTATTTTACATTGAGGATGAATTTATGATTTCATAACTTGTAAAATGAAAATGATTTAATGATTTCATATTATGAAAATGATTTGAAAATTAATGGAAACTTAAAAAATAAATAATTTTGAAAAAAAATTTCAAAGCAAATGTTTAGAAATATTAAAAAGATTGAGAAAAAACTTAGAACTTTAGAAAAATTAAATAGAACAGAGAAAATAATCTTATTAATAAGATAGTGGTTGCAACTTTAAGGTGATTGGAAATTTTATAAAAAATAGTTAAGAAAACATTACCTCTACGGCCATTTTAACAAGTTCTTCGTAACATAAGTGATAATTCTAAAATAAGACAAACATTTATTTTCAATAAACTTCTAACATGTGACTTAATATTATGCTTTTTAATAGAATTTCTTTTTGTTTTACATCTTAACAATAGGTTTATGTGCTTTATGTGTTCATGTAAATTGTTAAGTGTATTGTAATTTCTTATCATGTCCTACTTTGTAATGTCCTACTAGTATACTATCTTGTAATGTCCTACTTTGTAATGTCCTTCTAGTATACTATCTTGTAATGTCCTACCCTGCAATGTCCTATCTTGAAATGCCCTACATTGTAATATCCTAAATTGTAATGTTCAACCTTGTAATGCCTTATCTTGTAATGTCCTACCTTGTAATGTCTTACCTTGTAATGTCTTAACTTGTAATGTCCTAGTATGTCATTTCCTATTTTGTAATGACCTATCTTGTAATGTCCTACATTGCATTCAATTTTAAAATAGTTAAAACACTTTTCTAATGCTTCTTATTTTTAATATAATTAAAAAATAATTTTATATTTGCATTACAAAAATATCATTTAATTTTTGTGAGTTTGAAAGAACTATTTTTTAATATGATACTTTTATACCATTATTAATAAAAAATTATAAAAATATAAAAATATAAATATAAAAATATAAAAAAATATAAAAAAATAAATATAAAAATATAAAAAAATATATAAAATATATAAAATATATAAATAAAAAATATATAAATAAAATAATATATAAAAATAAAATATAAAAAATTAAAAAATATAAAATATAAAAAATTAAAAAATAAAAAATAAAAAAATATATAAATAAAAAATATAAAAAAATAAATAAAAAAATATAAAAAAATAAAAAATAGATTAGAAATATTTTACGCCCATCCCCATAGAAACAAATTAAAATGTATTATTCCATCCCATTGTAACAAATCATTATAATACATATGTGTACTCAGAAAAATATTATAAAATAAATTTTATTTCTAAACATGTTTAAAAAAACAAAACAAATAAAAAAGTAACAAAGATTACCTTAAAGGGAAGTAATGTTTTAGCACTTCGTGTCATCTTGTCAATATCTTTAATTTTATATGCATTAACAAATTCTCTCATGAGATCACATTCAATAGTAGAATACTTTTCTGCAAAATTATTAATTGATATTGTAAAATTATTAATTGATATTGTAAAATTATTGATTGATATTGTTAAATTATTAATTGGTATTGTAAAATTATTAATCGATATTGTAAAATAATTAATTGATATTGTAAAATTATTAATTGATATTGTAAAAGTATATAATCAATAGAAATAAAAGTCAAACAACAGCCTAACATTCTCTAACAGAAGAAGTAAAAGACAATTAACAATGTTAATGGATCACTGCACAATTTAAAAACAAATAAAATAAAAAAATGCTATCAAATCAAATAGAAATCTCCTAATTCTTGAGAAATAAGCTACCTTGAATTTTTCTTTGAACTCGTTCAAATCTTAAAATATAAAAACACCAAACTAACTTTTAATCATGATGTATGACAAATTATTCAATAAAGAATTTTTTTTTTCATGTTCAAGACATGAAAAAGCAAAAACATTAAACAAATTTTATATTAAACTCATTTAGAAAAATAAAAATGTAATCAAACTTTGATTAAAAATTTAATACTTTTCTTTGGGAAGTTCATCTGCCACCATGAGTAACTGATGAATAACAGCAGCAGCCTCATGTAGCTTAAACAAATTGAAAAATAGAATAATATACAAATCACTTTCACAAAATGTTTATTTGAACAATAATAAGTTTATTGAAAAAATAAATTAGTTTATAATGAGGTTAGTATTAACTGTTAGTGTAAAGATTTCTCTCTTCAAAAATAAATTAGTTTATAATGAGGTTAGCATTAACTGTTAGTGTAAAGATTTTTCTTTTTAAAGAAATGAAGCAACATCTCAAAATGGCTTTAAGTTTTATTTTAATAAAAACATTATATAAATAAAAACCTTCAACTCTGCCAAACACTTTTTTAAAGTCTGCATTATAAAAATAATAACAAAAAATATATCCCTTATTCAAAAATTAAGTACTTGGTTATATTCAAGTACCTTATTTTTCATAATAAAGTTTTTACTATAACAACACCTTCAAGTAAGAAAAATACTATTTAATAGAAGAACTGCAATATAAGCTAATATAAGATAATGCTTTGAAGACTTCACAACACATTTTATTGTTAATGAAACACATTCTGTTGTTGAAAGAACATGAAAAGTTAAAAATAAACTTTGACTTACAATTAAATGGTTTTATTAGTTTTTGTTTAATTTTAAAACATCCTAAAGTTTCAATCAATTTTTATTACACTTAACTTTATTTACAACTTTTATTTCATTTTACTTACTTTTGCTTTGTCATTGAATAAAGGAGAGAGTTCTTTTCCTGAATGAAATTCATCAAAATATTTCATAGCATGTTGAGTCTCTTGAGCACGCTGTCGAGGAATGCTAATATTTTCTAACTGATCTCCAAGGTGTACTACTTTTGTAGCTACAGAGTTAATGCGATCATCAAGATCATGAAATGTAGACATTGCATTCTATATTCAAAAAAATATATATTTAACAGAACTATATTGCTTAGAAAGACGTATCAGTCGTAGATTTTTACCTTGTATTGCTTCTCTACATCTGAAGCTTTTTCTTTATGCTTCTGCTCATGTTCTGAACAAATCCTTTCTAGTTTTGAAATTTGAGCAGTTGTTAACTCACTCTGAGTTTGGAGATTTTTTATAGTTTCAAGAAAATGATCACGAAGTTTTAAAGGATCAAAGCCTTCTTGACCACCTTTTGTACCACCCCCAAGTACATTGGCAGAAATTCTCTCAACAAAGTTTGCAGAGTCAAAAGGTTCCTTAAAAAAATTAGTATATATTTAAAAATTTATTTGTGATTTTTTGAGATTTTTAAATAAAATTAACTTTAAAAAAATTACTCCAAAATCTTCACTTTTATAATTAACAGCCATTTACTTTTTAAAATCCTAAAATAAGGAAAACAATTATTGTTACTATTAAAATAAAAATTATAGTTATTTCTATCCTAATAATAGATAGATGATGATAATAATGATGATGATGATGATGATGATGATCATCATCATCATCATCATCATCATCATCATCATCATCATCATCATCATTATCATCATCATTATTATCATTTACTTTTTAAAATCCTAAAATAAGGAAAACCATTATTGTTACTTTTGGAATGGAAATCATAATTATTTCCTACAGGTTGATAGATGATGATAATCACCATCATCATCATCATCATAATTGCTTTGATTGATGATGCCTAAAATCAACAACAATTCCACTCTTGATTAAAAATTGACCACTCTTGGTTAAAAAAACGCTACAAATTCTTGGTTAAAATATTTTTATTCAAAACAAATGACTTAATTTTATAATTTATACTGTATATACAACAACATGAACAATAATGAACAATAATGAGAACAATATATGAACAGTAATAATAGATAAGCATTGTATGAAGTTTTTAAAAAAGGAAACCAATCACATAAAAATGTATTTTTTTTAAAGTTTAACCAGTAAAATGTACAAATTTTCATTAACTTTATTAAGTTTTTATTTATGTTTATAAATATGAATAAAAAAAAAAAAAAAAAAAAAAAAAAATGAAACATATATCAAGTTAATTAGGTAATAAACATTTATTTTGTATTTATTAAAATTTTACTTTTTGTATTTGAATTTTAATAGTAAATGACTTGCTACCAGTAAAAAACTGATTATTAAAATATATCTCTATTATTACATTTTTAAAAAGTCTTTAAAATAAAGTGCATATTAAATAAACAATTTACAAAACATATAAAATAATTTAAAAAATTATCAGAAATGCGAAAACTTAAAAATAGTTTACAATAAAACAAAAACAAAGATTCAAAAAATGCGCACATATTCATATATAAAACTGAAAAAAATAAAAAAATTTAATTTAAACAATTATTCAACTTTTTTTAAAAAAGAATAAACTTTATTATAAATGAAAATCAGAAGAATGACTATATTGTGACTGAAAATTCTCTGTTTCATCAGAAAAATTGCATGCAGTTTTACTATCACTAGTTGAGAAAACCATTAGAGATTCTTTATCAAACTTATGATGTAAATTTTCATTAATTTCTTGTTTTGCTTTTTTACATGAGCTTTCATGCTGTTGTATTTTTCTTTTACAAGATATTTCTTTGTTCATACAAATTGGAATATCGTCAAGTGATCTTTCTTTGTCAGAACCAGAAGAACTACCTGGAGAACTATTTTCATTAGAGTGCTTTAATTTTCTTCGCTTTGCTAAGGGTGCGCTTGCAACATCCATTAGTGTCACAGTGTGGACTTTGTGGAAAGCATTAAGCGCAACTTTAAACGCTTTTTCAATTTGATTTCTTGAACTTCCTAAAACTCCTGGAGTCAATAATGGTGTAGATGGAACATCAACACGCCCTGTTAACCATTCATGCTGAAGAATATCATTAATTGTTAATCTTTTACTTGGATCAACCATGAGAAGTCCTTCAGAAAATAAAGAAAAACTACAACATAAATTAGTTATTATTTACAAAGAAACAATAAGTTTTAACTATAAAAAATTAATTACTATTTACAAAGAAGCAATAAACTTTAATTACAACATTAATTACTTACTATTTATAATAATTCTAATTACAAAAATTACAACTTATTTTAATACCTTTTATTAAATGTTTTGCAGATGTTGAAACACCATGCCACTCATAACTATCAAAAGAAATATTACCAGACATAATTCTCTTGATCATTGAAATTACTGATTCATTTGTGTAATTCTTTGGTTGAAAAGGAACTTTTCCTGATAACATAGTGTACTAAAATAAAATATTCATTTAGATAAATAAATTATATTTAAAATAAAAATAAAAAAATTAACAAAATTTTTTATTAATCACCAAAATTACTCCAAGACTCCAAATATCAACAGAGTTGTCATATGTAGCTGTCTGATTACTTGTAGCATTACGTAGAATTTCTGGAGCAGCATATGTTAGCGTAAAACATGGTGTTTGTAGTGGATTGTTTCCATGAATTCGTGCAAATCCAAAATCTACAAGTTTTAATTCAGCTGGATCAGAAGAATCAGCAAATAATATATTCTAAAATAAAAACATAAAAAAACTTTTAATTTACTAACTTTGAGTAACTTATAATAAAAGTAAAAAAAGAAGTTAACCTCTGGCTTCAAATCTCTATGCACAACACCAACATTGTGCATGAAACTTACAACAGATACAAGTTTACGCATTATAGAGCATGCTTCACTTTCAGAAAAGGTTGTTTTCTTTTTAATACGATCAAGAAGCTCCCCTCCTCTAAGAAACTCCATTACCAAATAAATATGAAACTAAATTTATTTAAAATTAATTGTACACTTCTGAAGTATAAAACTTTTTGTAATTTTAAAAAAATATTTAAAACAAATATTATTCAAAATTTTTATCAAAAAAGCTTAATTTCCATTATTATATAATAATTAACAGACATTTAAAAAAAAAAATTTTAGTTAATAAGTCTATGTTGTTTAGAGATGTACCGGAATTCTGACTGGAATTTGTGACTTTTAGGTCATTCCGGTTGCGGCCGGAATCACAATAAAAATTTATTTTTTACCTTTTTTTAAAGACACGTGGCACAAAGTGTTTAATTAAAATCACAAAACCGTTGTCCTACAGGACAATGAAGAACTATAGGTAAACCTAGGTAAAAAATACAAAATTCTTAACAAACACAATGTAATTTTATTTGCAGTAACCAATTATGTTAGGATTAAGAAGTTTGGAATTATTGTAGTGTAAAAAGAGTTATCTAGTTTTGTGCAACAAACAAGCTCTTTTTTTTATAAAAAATGTTACCTGCCTGTAAGAATAGTCTCATTTTAAATGTTACTTAAATTTTAAACAATTAAAATGTATAGGATGCCTAATATAGTAAATATTTTAATTTTAACCTAAATAGAAAAAAAGAAAAAAAAAGATGTAACTTTAGGTATAAATATGATGCAGATTACTTTCAGTAAATAAAATTATTAGAAAGAAATAATTTTACAACATATTAGATTTAAATGAAACAAGAATCAAATTAATGAAATAGGTTATATATATATATATATATATATATATATATATATATATATATATATATATATATATATATATATACTCATATAGTGTCGCTTTAAGAGCATTTTAATGTAAAAAAAGTCTCTTACGACTACAATTTTAATTACCTCGTCTCTAAAGCTGTTTTTGATTGTCATCGAAATGTCAAAGCAATTAATTTATGCGGAAGTACATTAAATTTAATTGTTTTTTAAAAAATTTTTAAAAAACCGCAATTATAACGACTAGAAAGTTTTTTTTAATTAGTGGTGTTTTTGTTATTGTTTTAATAAAAAACATTTTTTAAACATGCGTAAATGTTGCTACATCGACTATCTTATAGCCTGACTCGCAACGGAGTGCTGCTACATCGACTGACAAATAGCCTGACTCGCAACGGAGTGCTGCTACATCGACTGACAAATAGCCTGACTCGCAAGGGAATGCTGCTACATCGACTGACAAATAGCCTGACTCGCAAGGGAGTGCTGCTACAACGACTGACAAATAGCCTGACTCGCAAGAGAGTGCTGCTACATCGACTGAGGGTTTGGTTTGGCCAGGCAGTCTATCAATTAAAAAAAAAAATTTAATTTTTAAAACTTTTTCTGGTCTGGTTTATTAACGCGCTCTTTAAAACTACAGTTTATGGGAAATATTTTTTGATGCTACGCAAGAGACATGCAAGACTATATATATATATATATATATATATATATATATATATATATATATATATATATATATATATATATATATATATATATATATATATATTATTGGTTATAAATATATATTAAGTAGCCACGATGCTGAGGTGCAGGTTTTCACTTTTAATCTTGAAGGTAAAAAATTACATAAGGATAATTCTAGTTCGGGCCAGAATTCCGACAGGAGTTTAATTAACTATTCCGATAAACCGGGTTCTGGCCGGAATTCAAAATTTCTGATCCGGTACACCCCTAATGTTGTTAATACAATGAGATTGTTTTTGATTTGTAACACATTGACAGAAATTAAATAAGATCTTATTTTTTAAATTTTTACATAATGTTAATATTATATCTAGTTATTTTTATGTAATTACTTATATAAGTGGATCATAATCAACTGATTATGCTTATAGACACATAGGAAATATAAAGATCTTGATAATACACAAGAATGTACTCTAAACGTAAAAAATCAGATATAGAATCCAGTGGGAAAAATAAGACCTCAGTAACAAGTAATAAAGTGCTAGATCAGTGTTTTGTGTCATTTGTAGAAAAGAAATTTAATAGTCTTAGGCTATGGAGTTCGACAATAGTGTTGTTAGGTTTAGCAAAACAAATAATTTAACTATGTAAATATTCAATTATAAAAGTCCCAATAATTTTAAGAATTTTCAAACTAAATGGAGTATAACGAAAAAGCGATGAAAATGACGAAAAGAAAAAATATACATTAGAAATTAATTAAGATCTTATTTTTTATATTTTTACATACTGTTTTACTATAGCTAAATCAGAAAAATAACAATTTCAATGATTCAAAAATCCACAATTGAAAAACCAACTCTATGCAATTGCTTGATACTTCAATCACAAAGGGTTAAATAAAATGGTTCAACTAATACCACTACAATACCAACTACAAGTCTTAAAAACAGTATGAGTCAAGAAAACATAAAGACAGAAGAAAACTCCAAAAATGTTTGAGAAAAAAAAAAAATGAATTCAAGCTTCTTAAGTATGAACAAACAGTTACAGTAATGTACTTAAATTAACTTGAAAAAAAAATTGTTTTGATTCTGGGACTAATTACATTTCAAACAAATAAGCTAACATAATTTAACAATTTAAACAAACTTAATTTAAGCCTGATTTAAATTATGTGTCAATTCTGGACAAACAGTTATAGCTTCCATGCTGTTTAACACATTAGTTAAATACTGTAACTTTGATGTAACTTTGTTTAATGAAATGAAGGCTCACTTGCAATCATGGTAGTTGCTGTTTAAAAGAGAGAAAGAAAAGAAAGAAAAAAATAAAAAAATAAAAATAATAATAAAAAAAAAGAGAAAAGAAAAAAAAGATGCAAAAAACAATCACAATTCTGTAGCACAACTTAATATAACTTGCTTTAACCATAAAATTTAATATTTAAAAAAATGAAATTTTTTAACATAAAATAAAGTTAAAAAAAGAATATACCTCATCTTCATGTATTTCATGAAGCTGAACAACATTTGGATGATTTTGACAAAGTCTTAATGACTGAACTTCACAAGAATGATCAAAGCTATAACATTATAGCATTATAACATTATACAAAAATGATTTCAATATTAACAAGAATATATAAAAAAAATCCATTTCCGACATTTTTTCCCCTGTGAAACACAAAATTCAAAATGTATTTCCAGGTTTCATTTTATAAGTAAACATTTTTTGAACTTATTTGGTTAGGAAAAAATTTTTTAAAATTGTTAGGCATTATAGAGATGTATCACTAAGTGACGATCTTACTTTTGTACAAAAATTAGACAACAATGAAAATACTCTCTTGCTTTCTATTTAGGTTGGTTGAATGAAATTATCAAGATTTTGATTTCTTTGCATTTTAACGTGGAGCCAGAGCTAGCAACATCTTCTCTGAAATTGCAACATTATTATCAAGCATCATTATAATCAAATAAAGTTTTAAAATTGCATCAGCAGTTAGCAAACTTGCATCACGTTTACCATAAATTACCATAAATGGTGACCCACTGCTTTCAACGCAGATGTTGAGTACTTTGTTAATGCTTTTATGAGATTTATATCGTTAAATGGAGCATCACATGAGTATGAGCAGCTTATCCATGCTTTTACATAGATAAGAGCCACAAACAAAGTAAATTCCAAGCACTCTGAACTTTCACGTTTGGTGAGCTTAAATCGAGTTTGAAATAAGAAAATCTTTAAAACATAAATTATTTTAGACAACTGGTTCCCAGTTCCTAGTGAAAAGCACCAGGAACTGGGAATCGTATACTTCGAGGTGGAATATCTTCAAGCAAGTTCCAAAAGTTCACAATAATCTTCTCTAAGTAAATTTCCTGCCTTTCCATTCAACACTCCTAAAATAAAATCAAATACCTCTCTCTTTAATTCTTTAAGTTCTTCATTTAAACGATGATTGGTGCAAGCTGTATATGTTTCTTGGTCTATGTTTGGCAAATATTCCTGAAATCAACAAAACAACACATTTGCACCAGAGGATGGGCCAAAAACTGCCTTAAAGACATGGCCACACAGAACTTCATGCACATGATGGCGACATGCCAACCATAGCAGATTTTTTTCAAGTTTTCTTTTTAAAATTGTGTACGCACCATTTAGTGGACCTGTGTTTGATGCTGAAATGTTGAAAGAAATTGCAACTATTTGATTTTGCAATTTTCAATCAAAAATGGCAACCATTGTTGCATTTGCTATAAGCTCACCAGTCCTTGTGCCACAAAAGGAATAGCCACAAAAGGAATATCCCACCTGATATTGCTGGCAAAAGTTTTCCATTAATATGAATAACCAAAGGTCCCTCTGAACTATACTAAAGGTTGCCTAAACATTAGCATAATGTTGAAAACAATGCTTTATTCGGCTTCTTTTAATGCTACTACGAGATATTGGTAGTTTTAATATATTACTGTCATCATACGTCTGAATAACTGCTATTAAGATATATGCTGCTTTTCTGTCACTTACATTTGTATAATCAAGTGCAGATGCAAGTGCTGAAGGAATAACATCTAAAGCAGATACCTTTGCAAGTTTAGAAGTTGGAGATTTCTCCTGACAATGTTTCTCGACAAAATTATTATGTTGTTGAACCGTATAATCTTCATCGCTAGATATAGCATTGTCTGCTTTGCTTGAACTATCTGATGGTGACAATAATTCTTTATTTATTTCCAGACATTCTTTGGATTTTTTCTTTCTTTACTCTTCTTTGATACCACGTTGAACTTCCTTTTGCATTCTTGATTCTTTATTTTCTTTTTTTTGCCAAAATTCTATATACACCTCCCATGGCATATTTTCTTTCTGAACGTTGGTCTGAAAGAAATATTTGATCTTCTATTTTTATCAGCTTCAATGTATTGTGGTGAGCAATATCAAAAAGACAATTTACTGAGTTCAAAAAATATTTTTTTTACCTGCTGTGCTGGCCCACCATGACTCTTGTTCTTTGAAATATTTCTGTATCTTTCCAATAAAGCTTCAGTTTTACGAACAATACTTCTATTTCAGCAGTTAGAATTCTAGCTTTAACCCAGATCTCACACAACTGCTGGACTGCAGTTTTTATGGCTACTTGTTTACATTAGTTCTATAATCTAATCTTGGTAACTATAAGTAAATAAAAAATGTTTTGCATTATTTCATTTATTTTAAATTTTTTTTAACATTGCTGTCTGCAGTCAGGATTCTGCAATTTTGTTTGTTTTGTTTTTATTAGTGATCTAGGATATAGTTATTTATGATCTTTGGTAACTAATAAGTATGTAAATAATAAATACATAAATAAGTAAATACTAAATACAAATTCTTTGCAAGTAATAATAGTTATTACTAATTAGCTCTTGGAAATAAGTACAAAAATAAATATTTTAAAAATCAAGCCTGAAAATGAAAAATATATTTTTTTCAAATTTGATTTTAATCAAATTTAAAAAGTAAATACATTATTCAAGTGATTGAAAAAAGTGTGGTTAAACAAAAACGGAAAAAAACAGAATATGTTCTTAAACAATATTCTTGAATAAAATCATTATCTTATCTTGGAGAAGAAGTAGCACTGCTTGGTCTGTTTTCTGATTTGGTGCCTGTTATGAAATAAAAGAACTTATGGTAGCAAAATTGCAAGATCAGATTGCAGACAATCAAGAACTTGATTGTCGATCAAAGTGCAGAACCTCAGAAATCAGAGTGCAAAACCTCTGGAGTATTTCATCTTCACATTTCTTTTTTGATGCATTACAGTTAGACATGTCTTTTCTGAAGGAAGATGTTGAGAAGTGGTCAGATATTCCAAATTATCAGGTCGCAAAGAAAACCAATAAGGCACTAAAAGTTGTCAATGATAGTGCAGAAAAAGGAATTCCTCTAGCCACTGCATTTAATTCTACAATAACAAAACAAGAAGAGCAAAAACAATATTTGTTTCAAATGGTGGAAAGTCACTGGCGAAGATTTCTCAATCCAAAGAAATCAACATTACTTTCAGATGTTGGTTGTAGCTGAACAGTTAACTGAACACATGGAACAAACCGTGAAAACTGAACAGTATTAATGAAAAAGTGTTAAAATAAAACTTTCTTTTAATTTACTGTAAAGATATAAAATTTTTTGCATATTTTTTATTTTAATAAAGAAACTTTAATTTTTTGGAATATTCTTAAAAATTACTAAAAATGCTGAAATTTCGAGGTCGATGAGGCAGTTCTAAATATTATCTGATGTTCTTCAAATTTTTGTAGTGTATTTACAAAGCAAAAGGAACATAAAAAAGCAAGTGCCTATAAGATAAGAAATCATTTTATTTTCTGAACTACCCTAAGATATTCCTACAGTTTACATATAATCCAATGTCATAAGTAAGTCAAGTTTCAGATCATCATGATCACCCTGCTACTAGTAACATATAATCCAATATAATCTGCTCTGTGCCCTGCTGCTTTGATAAAAGGCTTTTCTAGGCAAAAGCAAGATAAAGTTAACTCTGGCCTAAGATACCTTTACCTTAAGGCTCATGGTTGAGACTAGAGATGGTTATCAAAAAAATTTATTTTGGGCAAATGTAAAATGTATCTAGGTAATAGAAGGCGTCTGAGGCAAAGATTTAGAAGTAGGAGTAAGCTGAAAACTTCTGTTGACTAGTATTGCACCACATTTTTATATATTAGGCTGGCACAGGTGTAAATCTGTGTTACATTGTTTTATGCCTAGGATGATAAATGCTAGATATTTTTACTCTATTCATGGATTTTTGCTTGTGCCTCCTTGATAGTAGTCATGCAACTTTTCCTGTTATCTCCTAATGAGAGTGCAGCTGTTTAACTCAGTTGTTTTGGTTCAACTGGTTTCATTTATTTGAATATTTGATATTTCATATACAGCGTGTAAAATAAGAAATCAAAGGCAAGCAGTCAATTTGACCAGCTAACCCTTGGAATTGACGGACAACTGTTTTTTTTTGGAAGGTCAACATTTTTATTATTTTCTTTGTTTTCATTTTAATCTTCGTAATAATTCTTCATGACTGAGCTTTATAAATACAAAAATAACTTAATATTTGATAATTAACAAAATAGTATATATTTTTTAAATTTGCAAATAACTAACATTAAAATTACACACCAATGTTAATAGTTTAAAATTAAGCGCACAGATTTTTATTTTATTTCTCAAAGGAAATTTTGATAAATTGATTACCTTTTAATGATTATATGATAATTTAGTACATTATTAGATAATTTTAGGTAATTTTTCCAAATAATAACCTGATTATTTTTCAAGTCTTGTTTTTCAAAACTCTGATTATTTTTAACCAATCATGACTGGCAAGAATTCATTTTGGGAGGTCAAAATAGCAGTTTTACTTATTTTGGGCTGTCATTGACCGTTGACCGGCCGTTATTTTACACGCTGCATATATTTGATATTTTAAAGCTGCTTTAAAATTTTAGTTTTAAAAAAAAGTCATAATTTTTTAGTTTTAAAAAAAAGTCATAATTTTTGATTGCTTAGAACAGACAGCCTTGAATCCTTTTTAAGTTGTCAATTCAGTAGACTATTATTTCAACAAAATGTTCAATAGTTTGTAAGCTATTTCTTTTATTTTTTAGTTTTAAATTTACAACCTTAAAAGTTAGTTTTTATTTAGGTTATTCTTTTACTTCTAAGTCAAAAAACATATATTAAAAAAAACAAACAAACTAAATAACAATAAATAGATTATTTATTGTTATTTAGCTATTGATATTGAATTTTAACAAAAGTATTAGTCTTTTCCTTCTTAAGTTTTATTGATAAAACTTTAAAAAAATATGTAATTAGCTATTGTAATATGGTATAAGCCTTGTGAAAATACTCACCGTTTTGTCATAATCTTCACGGCATATTCATTATTGGTTGAACGTTTGATGCATTTTCTACATAAATATTATTTTTTCTACATAAATATAATTTTTTTCTACATAAATATAATTTTTTTCTACATAAAAATTATTTTTTTCTACATAAAAATTATTTTTTTCTACATAAAAATTATTTTTTTCTACATAAAAATTATTTTTTTCTACATAAAAATTATTTTTTTCTACATAAAAATTATTTTTTTCTACATAAATATTATTTTTTTAAAAAAACTTTTGTTGAAAATTTGAATTTCAAATAAGTAATTTTTAGAAAAATAAATTATCAAAGAAAAAAAATTATTTACAAAAATACTGGTAAGAACCAAAAAAGATAATAAACAACTTTATATTATTGTATAAAAATTGATTTTGTAACAGTTATTACTATAATATAAAAACTTAAAATGAATCCAAAAAATCCAAAAAAAAAATATTAAAGTCAAAAATTCTTACTTGCAAATAGAAAAACTTCCCTTTCCCAAAATATCATGTGATAGTAAATATTCTTTATGAAAACTTGATGCCTTAAAAAAAAATTATTTAAATTTAATTAAAAAAAAAAATTTATTTAGTTTTTTGAAAACATTAAACAATATTTGTCAAATTTTTTTTTAATTTTATTTTTTTTTGCATAACAAAAAAATATTTCTAAACATTTAACAATTCACAGATCTCTGTATCATCTACTGGGTATGAAAAATCACGCATAGAATTTTGAAAAAAAATGTGTAATCTTTTCAACATTTTTCCTTCAGATGTTAATGGTATAATAATGAAAAATAAGACTATATCAATTTCAACCAGAGAAGAAGACTGTATGTTTCTGGATGATAAAAAAGAACTGCCAAACTGGTCAGTCGATTGAAAAGACAAAAATTATGCAAACTTTATAAAAAAAAAAAAATTGAAAAAACAAATCAATTTCAAGCAAAAATAATAGACCAAACATTATCTGACAACATATTCCAATCAAAGTCTTAAAAAATATTCTGATTCTGAATTTGTAGACTCAGATGAGTTAGATAAAGACTTCAAGTTGGATAAAAAATTCAAAAAGGAAAAAAAAAACAACTTTGTAATAGTTTCTTTGCCTAAAGATAAAATCAACATCAATTGTTGCAAAAAGATATAATATTTCTTCATCAGGTCAAGTAGCTATGATTGCAAGTATCATAAATACAGGAGATAAACAATGGAGATTTGAATAAGTTTTCACTACCAGAAATAACTTCAAGAAGGCATAACAAAATGGTCTTAAAAAATAAAAGAATTAAAACAAAGGAATCTTTTATCTCAAAAGCTAAACACATATCTCTGACTCTTTCACATGAACACAAAAAAAATTACAGATATTTGTAACCATGGCAAAAGTGTAGAAAAGTTACCAGTAGTTGTAAGCTCAACAGATCTCAATGAGCCCCAGGTTATTGGAGTAATTGGAATTTCAGGTGTGGAATGTGGGTATGGAATAAAAAAGGTTGCTGTGATAAAAAAGGTTTTAAATGAATGGAATCTTTTTGAAACAGTAGATAGTGTATTGTTTAATACAACTGCAAGTAATACTGGATAGATTAATGGAGTAGCGTCAATTATTATAAGATGGAGGCAAACCACTAATTTGGCTTGCATGTAGACACCACGTTGTAGAACTCCAAGCTAAAGAAATAGAAAAAGCGACAGCCAAAGATACAAACGGAACTACAGACAATACATTTAAAATGTTACACAATAATTAAGATTAAATGTTTGCTAAAGGAATAAATTAAGAAAATACGATCAAGTTGGATTGGAAAAATGATTGTGGAACGTTTATTAAAAATAAGGTGAGAAAAATATTTTAGAGATTTTAATCTGTTAAGACTTATAATTAGGAAAGGTTGGTGTTTTTTATACTTTTTGGTTCTTAAAAGCTCCTTTTGCACGTACAGCTCCTGAGAGAGATTTACAAGCAATCAGAGATGAATTGACATGATGAAACATGTCAAGCATACATTGACATGATGAAACGACAAGAAATTACAGGAAATTACAAGAAAAGTAAGTATTTCAATAGACTGGAAGAGGTGGTAAATAAAAATGTATTCATCAAAACTCACCAGAAATCAAATAACGATCTTCAAAAATCAAAAATTTACCAGAAATGGCAGGGGTACATAGTAAATAGCAGTTTACATTTAAACCATAAAATTGATAGCTTAATATTTTTTAAAGAATTTTGAACTACTTTTTAAAATATAAATGTTATAATATCAATAATACACTAGGATGACAAAATACTAGATATTAAGGATGGTTATTGATTAAAGAAATAGCAAAAAGATTAAAACCTTTAGAAAAATGCATCAGCTGGAAACAATAGTGAAATTAAATGATATGAAGGATACAAAAATTAACAAAAACATGAAACTTAAAAACAATCATATTCAACTTAATTTCTCTGCGCAGCGGCCTTTCTTGTCAAGGTTCGTGTTTCGAAGTTAAAGAGTTGAGAGAGGGTCATACCACGATTTACAACAAAAAATAAAAAAATAAAAATGAGTAGCCTCCTCAACTGTAGTGGCCCCCTCGGGCCTTGGGGAGGTGAATAATTAAAAAAAAAAAAAAATTCATCAATTAAAAGTCGATACAAAAATAAGATATAAAACTATCAGCATCTTTAACAAGTTAAAAAATGCTACTTTTTTAGACAAAAAAAAAACATTTTACTAAGAATATATTGTATGCAAACTTTCTAGCTCAGACAAAAAGGCTCGCAAAATTTACTAGTAAAAAAGTAAATAATAAATTTAAGATTCAGAGTTAGTGCATTTAAAATTATGTTTAAATAACTTAGCATAATACAGGCCTTGTTTTAAAGTGTTACGCCTAGAGCGATTTACGTACACCTTAAGCGCTTTTTACGTACGCGTAGAGCTGTTTTGGTTAAGCTACTTTTTATTATTTTTTAACTTTTAAATTAGCGGTAACATAAAAGAAGTAATTAATTTTGAAAAAAACCACATTAACTTTTAAATAACGATATGTAAAGGTATTTATTAAAAAAAAGAATTTACTTTAAAAATAATTGTTGTAACTTTTCATCGCGATATATCTTTCCTTTTTATAGCAATTAATTTGACGCTAAACTTTTTATCCAAATATTTAGCAACATGAAAAATTGTTTGTCAATCCTCAAACTACAAATTTTTTGCAATGTTTTTAATAAAAAGTAGTAGTTTTTTAAAGTTTTTAGTAAAAAACTTTTAAAAAATCTATATTCCATAATTATTAATACAGAATATAAAAGTTTTTTGTAATATAGATTTTTTATGAATTTTTTACTGAATTTATAATAAAAAACATTTGCAAAAAAATTTGTAATTAAGAATTGCCTTTTTTTAATAAAATCTCAAAAAATGTCTTAATATTTTTGTTATCATGATAACAAAAATATCAAGACATTTTTTCGAGATGTTAAAAAAAATGTCTTTGCTTTTCTTATTAGTTTAATAGTATATAGCTTATAGTTAGTTTAATAGTATATAGCTTTTCTTATTAGTTTATTAGTATATAGTTTAAGTTATGCGGGGGGAGGGGGTCGGCACAGAAAAAAAAAATTACCTGTTACTCGCAATATATGAATGAAGACAATTTGTTAAAATTCTTCTGCGTGCGATTCAATAAGTTTTTTTTCATAAATCAAGTTATAATATAAGGTAAAGAAATCATGAGTAGACTACAACATCCGCTGATGACACTAATATTACCTTGAATATATTTATATAACGGAGGTTTTATTATGCACGCGCACATTACAGGTTCCGTTAAATAAATACTAAGGCACATTTTAGTTTAATGACAGTCTCCATTTTTTACTAATGAATATGTATTTTTCTTTATAAAACAAAACAAACTAGTATATAAAAACCTTGTATATTTCTATTATCTCTAAATTGTTTAAAGTTCAAATATGGATTGTATTTTGAAGGACAAAAGATTTACTTTAAAAACTTTTAAATCTTGGGACTTTGCCGATGCTTTGCTGATGCGATGATCACAGAAAAAGAGAAGACTTACGTTATTAAAATCAAATGTAAGTTATGTGATCTTCATCAAAATAAAATATTATCCAAAAACAATAGTGCCGTAAGGGCAACTGCCCAACGGTTTATAAATAATACAAGTCATGTTAAAATATTTTAACATGTTACTATATTTTAATTAAGTTGATATATAATTAAAAATAAAAATATAGTTCAATAAATAAATTAAATTTATTCTTAACAAAGATTACCTCATATTTATTCTTTTTTTTTATTTTATTAAGTTAAATTGCTTACAAACGAAAAAAAAAAAAGAGTTTTGTAATTATACGTAGAATGAAAATACTTTTGAGTTTGTTTATAAGTTAAGGAACTTAATTTTTAATAAACAAATTTTTACGAATGTTTATTATAAACAGATACGATTCAAATTATTAAATATACTTAAATTATTTCAGTTGAGTATTTTTTTAAGTTTGCATGATTAAAGTTTGGCGTAGAAGTATTTGTTTTTTTGTTTTAAGAATAATTAACAAAAGAGTTTGCATAATTAAGACTTTTATATTTAATTTAATTTTTTTTTTTAATTTCCTAAAATAAAAAATAAAAAAGATTTAATCGTTGAAAACGATTTTTCTCTATAGCTCTGTTTCTTTGTGATTTGTTTAAAAAGTTAAATATTTTTACAATAACATAAACAATTTATGAATTAAATTCCTAGCGAACGCGTTCTAAACTACGTATCAAAAATATGCTCAAAGCAGACAAAGCTTTTTTATATTTTTATAAAACGCAAGTTGAAACGCTTTTAAAAATTTAAAAAATATTTAAAAACTTAAATTTTTCTTTGCTAGTCAAAACAAAATCGTTGTTTAAATAATTAACATGGGTTTGTGTTTATCAATGTTAATATTTTTGTTTACTCTAGAAATTTTTAAAAATAAAAAAAATCATTATTATTTTTTATTCAATAACGATTAAAAACAATTATTCAAAAACAAATTTCAGAAATAATTAATATATATATATATATATATATATATATATATATATATATATATATATATATATATATATATATATATATATATATTTAACTAAATAATATTGAACTAAAATTAAAAATAAAATATCAATTAAAAACATTACAAAATTTTCATAATAAATTTATATTTAAAACGTTTATAGTTTATATTAGAGTTAATTGTTAAATTGAACTAGTTTGCGGTTATTTATTTATTGCGGTAGTTATAACACTTAACGTCTATAAAAAAAAATAAAGATAATTTTATGACGTCAAAATCGCGTTAAGCTAATGCATTAAGCACTTTTTTATTTAAAACAAGGCCTGATAATATACAATAATAACAAAACAATAACAATAAAATAGTTTAACTTAGACAAAAACTAAAAAATTCAAAAAAATTTTATCACATAATTTTAATTCCGCTAACTCAGATTCAATGTAAAACTAAAATTGATTACCTTTCATGTCTAAGTTTTTTAAGTTTGCATAAAAACAATATTTAAGTAAAATGTTTGGAATTAAAAAAAAACTAAATAAAGTCTAATAAAAATAAACACAACACTAATACCATCAATTTTTAATAAAATTTTAGTTTAAAATGCTGGGTAAAATTTTTATAAAAATTTTAAAAAACAACTTAACATATTTTAACTTAGAGTATAAACTATTCCAACACTTCCATTCATTCACATAATTTTCATTCACTCACAACATTTTCATTCATTCACAACATTTCAAAATTTTGGCCAAAATATCAAAATTTATTTTACCTCAAACAAATTTCTATAAATTAAATTATCTACAGGTTGATTGGCTTCACTCAAAAACAATTCATCCGCAAAACTGTTTTTCCCAAATATTATTGAAGGAGCAACAAATGAGTATCCCTATAAAAAAATATACACCAATGAAGAACAATTGAATGTCTCTATAAAATTGAAGAGCAAAAAAATGACAACAACTATCAAATTAATAAAAATAATTTACTCGAAAAACTTTGTCAGCATTTTTTGGTACAACAGCTGGAGAATCAACTGGCATCAGCTTTGTAAACTCTTCAGAAAAATTACTTGTGTCTGTATCGTCCTTAACAATTGGTTTAAATGGTGGAGCTAATTCTTTCCGTGATAATAAATCCCAGTCAATACCCTAAACAAAATTTGAACTATTAGAGACACAAATAACATATTAGACACTTTATGCTTTAAGATTCTACTTACAAAAAATAAAGGATGTCGCTTAATTTCTGTTACATTATTGGGGCCATTGCCAAGCCTTTTAGCAGGATTTTTTTGAAGAAGTCTCCAAATAAAATCTTGAGCAAACTTAGATATTACTTTAGGCATTGGAGGATCAATATTTAATATTCGCCTAAAAATGTATAAAACAACTAAACTTTAAAATTGCAAAATTATAAAAACATATAATAACAATTTAAAGAACAACATTAATTGCATGAAAACAACTTTAAATTGAATTTTCAATAAAAAATAGTCAAAATTTCAACCAATTATAATATTACCATATAATCAATTCAAACATTATTTTTTCTATTTCTACACTATCTCTTATTGCTGGCCCCTCTTCTTTAAATTTCCTCGATATTTAGTTTTTCACAAATTGAAATACAAACTAGTTTACCCCTACAGAATTACTTTGGACAATATAGACATGGTCTTCATACCTTACTTTCAGTTTTGATCAAAAACATTTTGAGATATTAGCGAGAGCAACAAGTTGATAAAAAATTTTTTTACTATTCTTTACTAAATTTATATTTAACAATAAATTTTAAGTTTCTTACAATATTCTCTTAGCGCTCAAAAATAATGACCATATAAAATTTAACCCCCCCCCCTAATTTGAGGGGGTTTTATAAAACTTACAAAGAGTTTAGTAAATACTGTGAATCGACACCATTTATGTATTTTTTTTTCTTCTTAAATACATATTACCAATTAATTGAACAATACTTTTTACAGCACATCATAAAAACGCTTCTATAAACTAAATAAAAATTTTTATTTAGAAACTTTTCAGCCTTAAAGTTAAGAAATTGCTAAGTCCATTAAAAATATCTGTATCTTCTTAACAAAAACTTATTCAAACATTTTCAAGTATGTCGTTACTTTCATAAACTAGATTTGCAGACCGCTTATTATTATTAATTAATTGTTATGTGAATATATTTTGAGATATATAATATAATATAATTTAATAAAACACTTAAAAAATCAAAAAACATAATAACTCTTAATAAAGAGTTATTATATTTCTTTTATATATATATATATATATATATATATATATATATATATATATATATATATATATATATATATATATATATATATATACATATATATATATATATATACATATATATATATATATATACATATATATATACACATACATATATACACACACACACACACACACACACATATATATATATATATATATATATATATATATATATATATATATATATATATATATATATATATATATATATATATATATATAAAGTCATGAGGGGCGAAAATGGGTTCCTGAATCGTTGAAAACATTAATGAAGTTACACATTCTTTCCTATCAGAAGCGAATTGAGTCTGAGACAATGTATCATACAAGCTTCAAGACCAAAAAATGTCACTGAACCAATATTATTCAGAGTTGCTATCAATATTAATAAATTTACTGAATATAAATATATTATTCAACTTTTAACACAGCTTGGGTTTGAAAACACTTCAAATGATAATGTCAATCACGAAATTCTAATATTTACAGGGAAAGGTACACTTCATGGGATGGAAATAATCATCATAGAAAAAATGCAGACTGGATCATTTGGTAAAATTTCAAGATTGAGGCAACTTTTACCAAAAGCAGTTTTTGCTAACAGCCAGGGTATAGAGATTGTACCAAATCATAAATTAATCATTTATAAACAAAAAATCTTGTTTTTGCATCATTTATCTTGATAACCAAATATTTATATTTTCAAAATATATCAGTTGAATATTTTTGAATTTATTTTCTGTAGGGTATCAATGATGTTGATCAATGATGTTGATGAAGAAAAGCAGGAAGATTACAACGACTAAGAATATATTAAAAATATATAATATATATAAATAATAATAACAATACTGTTCTTATTAAGTGTTAACTTTAAACATTCTGAAAAGTTTGAAAAGAAGTTTGATTTAATTAAAAAACACAAAAATTATTGAAGTCGTTAATCAGATGAATTGGATAATACAAAATAAGAAACCTATTTCTCTTATAATAAAGTGTGAAAATCTTGAAAATCTTCTTTAACTTCTTCATAAAATAATAGTTTTATCTTTTAAACCATGTCATACTAAAATAGCTATCTGTGGAGGCTCCACATCAACTGAGGATTTGATTATGGGAAAGTACTACTTACACATGAAGTATATTTATCACGACAATTTTATTTTGATATCCTTCTTTTTTTCTTTTTTTCAATAAGATATATATATATATTTTTATTAATTAGGGTTTCTACTTTGTAGAGACCCTAATTAATAAAAAAAAAAGTTTAACTAGAGAAAATAACTTAATTATATGCAAATTTATTTTGTTGAAGTAAAACATGACGAACTCGCTTATATATATATATATATATATATATATATATATATATATATATATATATATATATATATATATATATATATATATATATATATATATATATATATATATATATAGAGAGAGAGAGAGAGAGAGAGAGAGAGAGTATATTACCATATATATATAGAGTATATTATATAGAGTATATAAAGTATATTACATATAGGCGAGTTCGTCATGTTTTACTTCAACAAAATAAATTTGCATATAAATAAGTTATTTTCTCTAGTTAAACTTTTTTTTTTATTACTTAGGGTCTCTACTTTGTTAATGTATTGAATCAAAATAAATTCTAAAGTTACTTTAGTGTAGAACTTGATTTTTTCATCATCAAGTCATTAGGGGCAAATTCGTCAATTACGGGGCAAATTCGTCAGTACGGCTAAACTTTTTGAAAAATAGTATCACTTGGGCGATAGACAAAATTTATATATATATATATATATATATATACATATATGAATGTGTATATATATATATATATATATATATATATATATATATATATATATATATATATATATATATATATATACATATATACATTTTAAGGTCGGCTTTTTTTAAGCGGTTGCGAAATGCAAAATCCCAAAAAATATCTGGTCTTCAAAATTTATTTAGTTTATGCAAAACAGTGTAATGTGTTTTTTAAAGGTCGAATCAACTTAATTATGTTAGTGAAAAAGTTATAAAAAATAAAACAATCAACTTACAACTACAAAAGTCATAACACTCTAGTAACCAACTGCATTATAAAAGTAATAAAACTATATAGTGTTATTTTTATAATGCACTTATAACTTTTATAATTCATTCTCTGTTCAAACAACATAAGTAATCCCAAAATTTAATTGAAGTTGAAAAGCATCTAGAAAGATAGAATGGAGGATATTCAAATTATATTTAAAACTTATTAAGGAACTTAAACAACTTTGTAAAAATGTACTGTGTAAAATATTTAGCATAATAAAAAACGTTACTAATGGTCTATAAAAATGAACACTAATTTTAAAATCAAGTAATGAAAACTTTTTATTGGTTGATTTTAAAACTGACTAGGGTTTTTATGGACTATCAGTAACTTTTTTCATAATGCTAAACTTTTTATAAAGTACGTTTTTATAGAGTTGTTTAAAAGTATTCGTAAAAGTTCCTGAAGTTTTTAATAATATTTGAATATCCACTTTAATTTTTTTTTGATTAAAGTTTGGAATTACTAATGTTGTTTGAACAAAGAATGAACTTTAAAAGTAATAAGTGCTTTATAAAAGTAATAATATTATTATAGTTTTATTACTTTTATAATGCAGTTGGTTACTAGAGTGTTATTACTTTTGTAGTCATAAGTTTGTTGTTTTGTTTTGTTTTTTATAGCTTTTTTGCTAACAAACTTATATTAATTTGCTCCTTGAAAACAAAGTACACGGCCTTGCATAAAGATAAAAAATAGCAACAATAAAAAACTTTTACAACAAACTACTGATTATCATAGCGAACAACTCAAATGAAAAATAAAAACTACTTCAGTCGCCCACAGGGCAACTGGAGAAAAACCAGAGGGTAAACCACTGATATATATATATATATATATATATATATATATATATATATATATATATATATATATATATATATATATATATATATATATATATATATATATATATATATATATATATATATATATATATATACATAGCTCTTAGAATTATAAAAAAATAAGGTGAAAAATATTTTAAACTCAAAGGTTTCACCATAACAACAGAAACAAGGTCAGCAAAAAATCAGACTTCAGACACTTTTAGTTCAACAGTTAGGTCAGCATTGTCGAATGCAAATTAGAATTTCAATCTTAATTTTTATTAAAATTTGAAACTTATAAAGTATAAAAGAAAAATGTTTATACTTATAATGAAACTTATTTACTGGATGTGATAGAAAATAGATTATATATTTTGATAAAGCCTTATCATGTTGCAATGTGTATGATTTTTTTAGTAATAAAACTTTTATTTATAACTGATTGTTATAAAAAAATATTTATAAATTCTATTTTGTTTGTAAAAAAATAGCAATAGTAATTGAAATATTGAATTAATTTAAAAGCGCTATAATGTATGAAAAAAAAAACAAAACAAAAAAACTAAACAGAGAAAAAGTAATGCATTATTCAAGCTTTTTTTTAATTTAGCAAACTAGAAACTTTTATAACCAGAGAATTATATTTAATATATTTATATATTTATAATGAGAAACTTTTATAACCAAAGAATTATATTTAATATATTTATATATTTATAATTAGAAACTTTAATAACCAAAGAATTAAAAGTATATTATACTAATTTAAAACATAAAATGTTTTTAATTACAAAGTATAGAAAAAAATTAACTTTAATACTTTTTAACTTACTAAACACTAGAAAAGTCATTACCAAGAAATCTCTCGCTGGCTGTTTTGCTCACCTTCCACAGTAAAGGGTGATGCTCCGGTAACAAGCTCATAAAATAAAACACCTAAACTCCACCAATCAACGGCCTAAGTAAAAAAAAAAAAAAAAACAATTTCACCAATCAACAACCCCAGTACAAAAAAATTAGCATTAATATATAAATGTGTTTTGAACACAAAAAGACCTTAAAAAATTTCATAGCTTATTATTATAATAATTTATGAATAAATATTAGCAACAAATAAATCATTTTAAAATAATCAGCAACAAATTTTATGCCAACTCTGCATTTTAAAAAGCTTTACAGAAAAAGCTGTATTTAGAATAAACAAAAAATGGAGTAATATTTTTTGCTTTAAAAATAGATGTTTTATGCATATATTTTAATTTTTAAAAGGCAAAAAACTGAATTTAGGTAAAAAAAAAAATACTAATTAAATTATAAAAATTATTTAAAATATATAAATTATTTAAAATATACATCAATTTAGATAATTATGGTGCTTTAATAAAATACTTGAATGAGTAATGTAAAAGTCTGTCTATGTACTAAATTTTATGTTGAATCAGCCATATTGAAGACTGTCAATTTATTGTCAGTCTTCAACATGGTACACTTTATGTAAAAAAACAAGCTAAACACAAATAATGCTGTTGGCATAAATCATAAAAATGAAAGCCTAAACTCCTAACTTTAATTATGTGAAAAATCAAATACAATAATAAAATAAATAGCAGTATAATAACAGAAAATTATAAATCACACTGAAAAACAAAAAAGTGATAATTTAAAAATAAGTTTAATTTTTTTTTGAAAACTTTTTTCAATTTTTTACACAAAAAAGTTTTTTTTTTAACTTTAATTATTGTCCAACTTTCATTAAAAAAAAACATTGATAAATAATGTAAAATCATTTTTATTTACATTTATAGATTTACATAAGGATATATATATATAATTTATTTGCATGATGAATACAAACCTTATACAATTTCAAATACCATAACATAGTATTGACAACTTCCCCAAAACCATATTTTTTAAAAATTTAAACATTTTCAAACAAAATAGTTTTAATTAAAATATACATTTTAGTTTCAACTAGAAGATTTTTATTGTAAATTTAATTTAATTTTTTTTTAATTTAACTGCAAAAATAAAAAAAATCACATTTAAAATAATAAAATTTATTTACTTAGTTGTAATTTTTTGCTTTAAAACATATTTTACAAAAAAAATTTAATAATGATTATTGTCAAAGATTTTCTAGATTTTAGCAGCTTGAAAACATAAGGACTAAAAAATGACTAATAACAGAAGGAATATATTACATGACTAATAACAGAATGACTATAATACATGACTAATAACAGAATAGCTATAACACATGACTAATAAAAAAATGACTATAACACATGACTAATAACAGAATGACTATAATGCATGACTAATAACAGAATGACTATAACACATGACTAATAACAGAATGACTATAATACATGACTAATAACAGAATGACTATAACACATGACTAATAACAGAATGACTATAATACATAACTAATAACAGAATGACTATAACACATGACTAATAACAGAATGACTATAATACATGACTAATAACAGAATGACTATAATACATGACTAATAACAAAATGACTATAACACATGACTAATAACAGAATGACTATAACACATGACTAATAACAGAATGACTATAATACATGACTAATAACAGAATGACTATAACACATGACTAATAACAGAATGACTATAATACATAACTAATAACAGAATGACTATAACACATGACTAATAACAGAATGACTATAATACATGACTAATAACAGAATGACTATAATACATGACTAATAACAAAATGACTATAACACATGACTAATAACAGAATGACTATAACACATGACTAATAACAGAATGACTATAATACATGACTAATAACAGAATGACTATAATACATGACTAACAACAGAATGATTATAATACATGACTAATAACAGAATGACTATAACACATGACTAATAACAGAATGACTATAATACATCACTAATAAGAGAATGACTATAATACATGACTAATAACAGAATGACTATAACACATGACTAATAACAGAATGACTATAACACATGACTAATAACAGAATGACTATAACACATGACTAATAACAGAATGACTATAATACATGACTAATAACAGAATGACTATAATACATGACTAATAACAGAATGACTATAACACATGACTAATAACAGAATGACTATAACACATGACTAATAAGAGAATGACTATAATACATGACTAATAACAGAATGACTATAACACATGACTAATAACAGAATGACTATAATACATATCATTAAAATGATCTTAAAGCTCTATCACAATTATTATTTCAAAAAATAATAAGTGCATACCATTCCATGACCATTTTTATCTCCATTTACAATTTCAGGTGCCATGTACTCTATTGTACCACAAAACGAATAAGCGCGTTCATCAACCTAAAAATATATAAGTATTATATTTTATAACTTGTAATGAAAAATTTATATTTTAATTAACTAAGAAAAATTAATTAAACAAATTAATTAAATTATAATTAAATTGTTTCAGGTGCTAAATATCATATGATATATAAATGGATGATACCATATGATATATAAATGGATGATACCATATGATATATAAACGGATGATACCATATGATATATACCACCAATGAGTTAAGTTTTAATTAGTGCTTGTTACAAAAGTTACCAAACATGTTTAGTAACTGTAGAGTGTTTCAAAAATGAATCAAAATTCTACTCCTAAGATCAGTCAAACTTGGTGGTTCAAAAATGAATCAAAATTCTACTCCTAAAATTAGTAAGTTATTTAACAGACATCTTGTGCAAAATTAAACATGTTAAACAAATAACTACAGAAAGCAAATCCTTATTGATGAAAAACTATAGCATTATGGTTTTACCAAACTTTGCTAGGTGTATCAAAAATATAATTTGGAATAAAAATTTGAGCATCTTTATTAGTTTGCCCCAATACAATAAAACATTTTATAAATAAATAACACATCATTTTTAAAATTTTAGGAACAAAAAATATTAAAAGGATTCTGCAAGACCCATGGACGTTTAACAGTTCACTGATACTATTTTAAAAAAAGTTCTTCAAAAAGTCAACTTTAATCTCAAATGAAGCAAAACAACATGAAAATTTCAAAAATAGTTATCATTTATATCCAAGTCAGAGTCAGGAAAATGATAATCATTATTATATAAAAATAATGATTGTTACATCAAAAAAACAAAAATCATTTTTATCCTTCAGGTCAAGTCTTAAATTACTTCCTTCTCTTTTATTTCTTGAGACTTGTGGTTGAGTAAAGGCTAGAGATAGTGTCTCAATATCACACTGAATGGCTTGGCTTTGACGCCACTGACTCTGCTAGTACTAAAGCCCACAACCTCTGTATTTCTTAATATTTTACTCAGATAACTTTGTGACTTGTTTTCCAGGAAACCCTAATCACTTACCTTCTCTGCTTGATTTGTGTCTTATATCTGAACTTGGCTTGTGTTCAGTTTCACTTTGTTCTCCTTTAGGTGGTTCGGACCATGCAATGATCTCTAAAAATCTTTCATCTTTTACTTCTTCAGACTCATCCTATCATCGCACTATGTACCATAAAGCTGACTTTTTTTCAATATTTTCTTTGTGACAACCCTTGGGCTGATGTCTTCTCTCTCTTTTAATAAATACTGTCTGATGTTTAGCCCAAGTCTCCCAGTTTACTAAATTTGTAATCTTATTTCAGAAGTTAGGCTCTAAAGACTTTTGAAAAACCTTCAACATTGTCATTAAAAAAGGTAAGTCAAAGATTCTGCCTCTAACTCATGGGTCTGATCTTATTACCTCCCCTATAGTTAAGACAGAACTATTTGCAAAGAAATTTTCTTCTAATACAACTCTTAAATCTAATGACCATACTTTTTCTGCCATTTCATTTAAACAGGTTGACTCATTGTTAGACATCTAATTCACATTGGCTTCGATTGATTAAGCCATTTCTCATTTAATCTTTTCTACAGCTTGTGGTCCAGACAACATTCTTGTCAAAGTCTTACAAAAGTATTCTCCAGAACTCTCTTTAATTCTTCAGACATTCACACATTAAATAATTTACTATTTAATAAGTGCTTGTCTGAATCTTGTTTTCCTGCCTACTGGAAAAAAAGATCAGTGATTTTAATTTTTATTTAAATCTCAAAACCCTTCTGGCCATTTTAACTATCACCTGATAAGTCTTCTCTATATTATAAGCAATGTCTTTGAGTTTTTGACCAATAAATTTCTAACATCCCACCTTGACTCTAGTAATTTACTCTCTGACAATCAATATGGTTTCGATCTTCTCCTTCAACAACTAACTTGCTAACTGGTGTGGCTCAAAGATTCTATTGAGCATTAGATGGAAGCAAGGTCTATTGTTATTGACCTATCTAAAGTTTTCCATAAATTTTAGCATGTTGGTCTTCTTCATAAGCTTGCTTGATATGGTTTATCTGTGAAAATTTTTGAGATTATTAAATCATTCTTTTCTAACCGCTTTATTAAAGTCACACTTCAAGGCAAGCACTCTTCTTCATTTCCAGTAATTTCTAGGTACCACAAGGTTTTATCTTTGGTCCTGCATTGTTCTGTAACTTCTGAGGTATCTCAAGGTTCTATCCTTGGTCCTGTATTTACATTAATGATCTTCCTGACAATCTTACACCTAGAGTGGCCCTATTTACTGATGACTCAACTTTATGCTCCTGTCTTGAAAAAAAGCCTTCTATTTTCATTCGCTTAGAACAGGCAGCCAATCTTGGATCTGATCTCGCTTCTGTAACAAATTGGAGCGTGAAGTAGCTTGTGAACTTTAACTGCAACCAAAACTTGGTTATATACTGCAAACAACTATTGTAACATTATCGACATTCATAAACAAACGCATTACTGACCTATCATGGAAACCATATGCACAATCCATTGCAAAGTAAACATTTGTAAAAAGCAAAGTACACACCTAAGGCAAATGTAAACTGTATTCAGCTATGATTTTGTAAAAAAAGTCCAAGGCATAGATATAAGGGGTAAGCAGAAAACTACAACGCTATTCATTCAATAACACTGACATAAATATATTTGTTTTATATTGTGCTCTATCATAGGTGACAAATGCTAAATCATCTTGAATTTAATCATAGAATATTCTTGTGTCAAAATTTAATAATGTTTATTATAATTTTATTAGCAGGTAGTTTAACATAAATAATGTTGTTTTGTAATAAACATTAAAATCTCAAAAAAAAACTTAAATATATATATTTTTTTACTTTATTGTTTAGCACCACTTCACTCTATCGCCTTTCTCTTTGGTCTATATCACTCTCCTTCATCTCAAGACTGCACTACTTCTGATGTTATTTCTGATCAAATTGACCCAGCCCTCTCTCTTCATCTATCAGCTAATACCATTGTTGTTGGTGACTTTAATGCTCATCACACAGAATGGCTTGGCTTTAGTGTCAGTGACTCTGCAGGCATTAAAGCCCACATCTTTTGTCTTTCTAATCCCTAACTTAAATAGTCAACTTTTTAACTCACTTTCCAGACAACCCGAATCATTTACCTTCTCTACTCGACTTATGTCTCGTTTCTAATCCTAGTCAGTACTCAGTTTCTCCACATTCACCTTTAGGTGCTTCTGATCACAGTTTGATCTCTCTAAAAATATTATCTCATTCTTCTTTCTCATCTGAATCCCGCTATCATCGTACCTCTTACAACTACTATAAAGCTGACTGGGACTCTTTTCGTGAAATTCTTTGTGATGGCCCTTAGGGGTTGAAATCTTTTGTCTTCCTGCTGACAAATGTGCTTCTTACATAACTTCCTGGATTCAATCTGGCATGTAATCAACTCGTTTCTCCGCGCAGCAGCCTTGTTTGTCAAGGTTCTTGTTTCGGAGTTATAGAGTTGAGAGAGGGTTATATAACCACAAATAAGTAGCCTCCTCGTCTGTAGTGGCCTTCTCGTCCTTGAGGAGGTGAATTAACAAAAAAAAATTAAAATCTTTTATTCCCTCTCCACAATTCCAGGTCAAGCCTTACTCTTCTCCATGGTTTTCCTCATATTGTGCTGTTGCAATTTCCAATTGAAACCGTTACTTCCATATCCATCAGCAAAATAATTCTCCAGAAAACAGACATCTCAGTGAAGAACCTAGATTTAAAATACCGTTTTTTTTTGGAAATGTGGAAGAGAGGGAGGGGAATTGATTCGCCCCCCTCCACACACACACATCTCTCCTTCTCCCCTGATTAAAATCAGAGCGGCGACAATGATTTTTAATCATCATTTTTTTCAATTATCATTTCAATCATTTTTGTTTATCTTGTTTAGTTTTATTCTAAGATAAGGAGTTGATTTGAAGGCAATTTTTTGAATACAAGAATTTACTGGTGGATGATGTTACTCAAGATACAATAAGAAAACATTTTTACTTAAAACTTAAATATACACTTTTGCTTATTATAAAATAATTATTGAAAATTGTTTAAAGTATTTAAACATTTATTAACTATATTTTAGCAAATTTTATTTTAGTACTTATTAATTTTTTAATTAATTAGTAATTAAATCTTTAAATACTTTTAACAATTTTTAATTAATATTTACATAATTTACTAATTGAAATGCTGATCCTCATCGAAACTCCAGTAATAATAGACGCGACTCTGAGGAGATGTTTATTACTTAATCACTACACTAATTATGTTTACACATTAGCATTAATGTTTTTTTTTCCATTATTAGTCCTTTCATTGTTGTTAGCATATTTTTAATTTGTTGAACGGTTTTTTGTTTTACAAATTTTTGACTGGTTATGTATTTCTTGTATATTTTAGTTCATATTGGTATTTATAAAACAATTTTTTTTTATTTTTTTATTTTTGTTATAAATATATATTTATTTTTATTATTATTTATTTTTTATTTTTTTTAATTTTTTTTATTGTTATTATTGTTGAGTACTGTTTTAATTGTATAGCCTGTCTTATTTATTTTTAAATATTCCTCTATTAATCTTTATTTTTGTCTTGACAACTGTCAAAATATGCTTTGTCTAATAAATAATTCTCCTTTATTCTAATGTACTTCATTTCTTCCCTCAGGCGTTCACTGCTCGTGTGTGACCATTCGGGGAATTTTATATGCCAAAGTTTTTAAATAAGTCAATAAACTAAAAAAGGAAAATAATTTATTCTGAAAGTATTTGAGTTTAGACATCTTTATCATTTGAAAATATTATGATTCTGATGTTCCAAAACTACTGTTCCAAAACAAGGAAAAACATACTTCATAAAAACAGTCGAAAGCCGCTAGTTTATAAGAATCGCTCTTATACTTATATGTAAATTCAGATGAATTTTTTAATGAAAAATTCAATCAC